AATGCTCCATCATTACAGCAAATTTTAGTCAGCATCTACTGAGTCCCCGTAAGGCTGTACTTAGTTCTGCCCTAATTTAATTTTCCTTCTATTGCTAGAAGGAAAGTCTGCCATCCAATCCCTATTTTTTAATTATCCATTGTCCAAGCCAAGAGTTAAACAAGAGTACCAATTAAAATATTTTTACTTTTTCTCCAACAATGTGGTCTAAAAATTGCTTCTAACTGAAGCCACACAATGATTGTAAGTTCAAGCACTTGTTTTTCCCGTTATATTTCATTTTTTTTAAGCCAACACAGCTTAAACCAACTCTGTACAGGATCTTAAAACTCAAACTGTGCCCTTTCCATAGTTCTCCACAGTTGTTGGCTTTATATAACGGTTCTGGGACCAGCTTGGGCAATTCTGTTTATCCACAGCTTGCACACAGTGTGAATAACTTTTCCTGCCCATCATTATTCCGATCATTACCTCTAAATGCTCTTTGTGCTGTTGGGCTGCTGTTCAAGGAAGAAAGAAAAAACCCTGCAGATCAAAACAATCTCTGAAGACCCAGCCATGTGGATGGGTGCATTCTTCAAGCAAATGGAAGAATGGGAAGCCTGACTTAGTGCAGTATCTCCAGAACACTGTATTAGTCAAAACTACCATACCAGCCAGTGGTGAAGTGCAAAGCCATTTGCCGAAGTGCATTGGAGATGGCCCTCCTACTGTCTTAAAGGTATGTTGAGCCTGATGCTATTTCTACTAGCCCGAGGTCATGTTCCGGCTGTGCCAAGTTGAACATACATCACTATCCACATATGGCCTGAAAAACCTGCTGCTGTTTCCCTCTTCTGACTCCAAGTGCAAAACTGGTCAAGGGGCTTGCAAGCATCTAGATGACCCTGTTATATATCTGCAATGAGGGGTGTGAAGATCTAGCCAGAATCTTGTTTAACCTATGCTTGGTCGTGGCTTGGGGAACAAGTGGAGCCAAGATCCAGTCCACAAACACTCAGGAATGTTAGTAGACCTCTCATTTTTACTCTGATGTTATGAGCTCGGTTTCTTCCTTTCGCACATTCAAAGCCACAGACCTTTCTTGCAAAACATTTTTTATTGACCAATGCATTTTCCATAAGCACAACACCCCAGAACAAGTCTCTGAGCATGCACAGAGTGGTTTGTGGAACTCAATCTAGTATTTACTTCTAGGAACTCTCCGTATGAGTCTGTTCAGATCTCATTCTTTTGGGAAAACCCTTTTGCAAATGAGGACACCTCCTCCCTGTATGCCAATACTCTAATTGGGGCACCCTTTTCTGTTGACATTGCATGGTGGAGTCAAAAGCCATACATGCCTCTTCTTTTACTGAGACACTCTCAATTTTCTCAAGAAGTATTTGTCAGATGGCAGCCTGGGGGAAACAAAACAAGCCCAAAGGCTCTTCGGCAGACAGAATTATATGTACGATTCTTTGAATTCTACACAAATTTTGTGTTTCTGGGTGAAGAGAGTCAGGAGTGAGGTAGATACAGAAGTGCATTGCTGGAAACACTCTCCAAGTACACCAATGCCCTTTAAAATGTTTGTATCACCCAGCACTTGTTGGTGGATCACAGGGGCCAGACTGACAGTAGTTTCTGACAGCTCTAAGCTATGGTAAGTTCTGCCTATCTCTTTTAGAAGATGGCTGAAATAAACAATGCATGTAGTTGAACACAAAAGGGAAAGAAGGAAAGAATGTGGGAAAGATTGTGAAAGGGTTTCAGGCTTGTGATGGATGTTGGGGATCTAGACTACTGCTGCTTATGATTTATATTGTTCCCCATACGCTTGACATGGAAGGGTGATTGCTGTTTAACTGCCTTGTTCAAAGGTCAATGCCCTCCTTCAGCCTGTCCTGGTGAGAAGGGAAAGGACACCTTGGTCAGGATGAAGCAGTGGGCTACAGTGGCACCTTCTTGGACAGTAGAAGCCTTTCTTCCATGGGGTAAGCTCCTGGGTGGACCACATACCCTACATGCAGTGGACCACAAATGGACCACGTACCCTACATGCAGATGGTTCCAGTTTCAGCCATCAACATATCCAGGTGGAGCTGGCAGAGACGACTGTGTAAAACCCCGAAGAGCTACTTCCATTAAATGCTAAGCTAACTTAGTATAACACAACTACCTATATTTCTGTCTTACTTGAATGCTGCTGAAGATACTTGCACTATATCAAACAGCACAAAGGTCATCTTCTACTTAGGATTCAGGAAGCTGAATGCCAGGTTCCAGTGCCACCAGCCACTGGCATTTTCCACTGGGAACCATGACAACTGCAGTTCAGTTCCCGTAACTGGAACAAATCTTACCACACCACTGTGCCCTTTCTGTGACTTTCAAGAATTGCAATTCCAACTGAATCTTTCAGCTTTTGGAGACTGTGATGAATTGGCAGTGACTCAGAGTGGAAGTGGTGGGTGTCAAGTAGACCGCCTGTTTGATCATGCAGTGCAGCTGGAAGTTCTGGAAGGCTGCAGAACAGCTAAAGCTGATGCCTAAACAGATGTACTCTGTGTTCAGTGATGAGGTTGTATGATGTCACAAACTGTGTTTTCTTACAACTTACCCTCCGTGAACTTGCCCTTTTCCTAAGTCTCACAGATGCTGAAGATGGAGTATCTGAGACCAGCAAAGATGCTTCACATTATCTTGGTCCTGCATCACTTTAGGAAGCATCTGAGCCTTACTGTATTACTAGAGGAATTGCCTCTTCCAAGGAAAAAAGAAAATAAGAACTTCCACCGAATGAGGAGAAACCCAAGAATGCTTTTCAATCCCTTGTACTTTATATATAGGCATGAAGGTGAGCATGTTGGCTTCAGATGTTACACCTACACAAGGAGAATTGTGCAAAACATGTTACCTTTCTGACATTGCAGATGTGGAAGTAAGGAACACCGTAAGAAAATGGCTTTTATTCATTCACATAGCTGACACATGAAAGAGAGAGAAATAAAGGAATTACTAGTGCGTATGGCTGGAACAATAGCTGGCTCCTTACAATGAATATTACAAGCATTTAAAATGCTGTCAGATGCAGTAGGCGACCATCACATGCATGGATAGGTTTGCTGAGCAGTTTTGGCATAATCTGATTCGTATGCACAAACTTATAGCAGTTCTTTTAAATGATATAGAAAACATAACCTATACATTTAATGCTAATAAGGAATCCAGGCAACAGGCAACAGCATTCCTAACCTCCTCTCCCTAAAAGATTCTTTCTGTAGTAAAATGCATTACTTCCTTTTAAGCAAAAAAAATCTAGACATTTTAGTCTTTGATGCCAACTTAGGGCTGACTCATCCTACCATTGCAGTATGAATATTGCTTTGGTGTCATCCCTCCAAACCCATGATGTTCTAGCATGCTCAATAAAGAGGAATTACATCATTCTCAATGTCTCATGGTTTGGTTTAACTAACAGCCTCCACATTTCAGCAAATCATAGCATGAACCTGGTCCTATTTGTGACTAAATCTTAGTCAAAAACGCCATAAAAATTAACCCCGTCTTTAACCACCCTGCATCCTACTTTTATGTAGGATTAGGTCTGGATCACTCAGTTAAGTACTCTGCAGAGCAGTGTTCTAGAATAACCAGAGTTCTTAATAACTACTGAGGCAGGCAACCAAAAATCCATGGGTTGTTTGGAACCTCCAAGGCTTTCCTGCCAGAGAAGCTGCTTTCTCCTTTTTCTGGATATCACTGACCCATGGGAGAAGCACAGGGCTATGTGAGTTGGCAGAAGAGCCTTAGCAGGTGAATTGCAGGCCTGTGAATTTTTAGCTACCTGTTACATGAACATGCCACAGACTATGTTTCCAGCCATCCTTGAAACAAGCAAGCAAGCAAACAAACAAACAAACAAAGCTTATGAATATCATTTTCTGTTCTTGCATGGTGTTCCCAGTAACCTACGATCCAACAAGCTTATTGGGCCACCTTCCACTTAGCTTGAGCATTGCTGGAGCATCAGTGGCTACCAGGCCACACAGCCACATGTATAAGCTTTTCAGTGAAAAGAATGTGTAATTCTTGCCCAGACCATTTTTCCAACTGGCTTGACTTTCTGATTGGATGTTATGAAGTTTCTCATAAGTCTTCTCCCTTCTTGATGCATCAACAGCAAGCGGGCTTTTATAAATGTGGTAGCTCAGGATGCTGGCTTCCAGTCCCAGGCAAAACCATTGAGCCGGTTCCCATCCCATTCTCCATTAAATTGTGAGTCCCTTACGGCAGAGATCAATTCACTGCCCTTCTCTCCCCTGTACTGGTACTTGCCTTGAATTTTCAATAGAGATGGATACAAATCTAAATGAATCATTGATTTCAAATAGCCAGGATCTAAACATTGTTGGGAAAACTATGAGATATGAAGTACACAGAACTGAGGGACTTGATGGAAGAACAATCAGAGGACTATTGTTCAGTGCTAACACTGAACACTGAATGTTGCTTCAGCAGTACACTTTCTGAATTCTACTTTAAGATGCCAGAAACATAACTTGCCTGAACCTTCCTTTGACTATCAACTTAAGTGCAAGAATCAGATGTTTATGATACAAGAATCACAATGGCCACAGTGGATTATGTTTAATAATAAATCACTGCCCCACAGTGGCTATTTGAAATCTGGATAGGAAAGCAAGATCATTATGCTAAGCATCTCTCTCATTTAGATTCTTCCTTGTACTGAGCAACACCATGGGCATATTTGTTTGGAATGTACTTTTTCTTGTTAATATCAACTCCAGGAGTAAAATAGTTCTTTGGAAGCCTTGCACAGGTTTGCAGAATCATTTTTGAAACCCTGGTGAAATAGTTGTTCAGCTGACATTAGTTGAACATCTGCCAGTTCTCATATAAGTCCAAATATAATGAATTTATCATTATATTTTCACTAAATTTCAAAACAGCTATTCATATAAAAATATCTTTTTCTCATTGCTCTGCGTGATGCATCAAAGCTGTGTTTCTTCCCTGGTGTCTTGCCCAATTGCATGGCAGAAGCTGTTTTTCCGGCTGGACTTAGTGTTTGGAACGTATGACAATGGATCTGGACGAATCAAGTATCTAGAAAAAGAAAAAGTTTTAAAAGTTTAAAAGTAAAAAAGGGGGAAGGAGAGAGGATAAAAAGGGGGATGGGAAGGAGAGGGGAGGGGAAGGGGAGGGGGGACGGGAGGGGATTACACTAATTCACATTGACCCCAACAAGTCATCACACAACTATTATTTGAAATGCATTTCACTACTGTGGACTGGTGGCTCCAATATCAGTGTGGTCGTTTATCCACTCCAGGCTTCTGAACTGTATAGGAGCTGTTTGTGGTGCTGAACATGGTCCCAGTCTAGGTTTAGCACCATCAGTATCTCCTTAAAAGTTCTACCTATGGCCTGAAATGTATTAAATGCCTGACTGAAATTGGGATGACCAGCAGTCACTACACTTCATTTTGGATTAATAACCAATGGTTTCTTGTGGCAACTAATGTCTCCAATATACACAGAAAACATAGTTGGACTTAATACAAAACAAAGGAAACTCAATTAAGCAGAAGTCAGAGATGCAATAAATCACATTAGCAGCCATCTCAGTCAAAAAGCTCCCTTATGCTTTCTTTCACAAGCTTTAAGGTGGCTCCCAGTGCATTTTTGTTGAGGCAGAGATGGCCAAATGCCTCCCACTACATTACTAGTCCTTGGATGTATGCTGCCCCACATTCAATGCCACCAGCCACACAGAAAATCTATCAAATTTACGTGTGAATTGATGCATGCACATTTTGGCAGTTTTCAGTTTGTGATCCTATTCCTCCACAGTCCAAATTACCAATGTGTGTGAACACATACATTACACTGATTGAGACACCAGACAAAATGTTATCTCAATCTGAAGGTATGAGTGCATTGAGATTCCATTTTGGGTAATGTGTAATGGATGAACATGTGTGCTCATGAAAGCTGATGTCTTAGTAGAAGACAAAAAGAGGCAAAACTTGAACAGTTTGCCAAAATCTGCATATACAACAATGTTAATTCAGTGTGAAATTCCACAATTTAGCATGCAGAAAATGTTCAAATAGAAATGCTTTTTAAGTATCCCTGTTTTTTGATGGAAGGATACATACTCAGAGTTTAAATGAAATAACACCAACCTGGCATGGCACTATGGGTTTCCCATGCTGTGTGAACTTGATGATCATGGGTTCTACAGGAGTTAAACAACCCTTGCATAAACCTTAAACAGACCACGAGTTATGTGAAGATTCTTTAATTCTCATATAAGCCTGGTTCACTGGGTTTGTACAACATAACAAGTCATGAAGAGGGGCTGCATATTCAAAATAGTGGGGACACAAGTGCTGCACACTCATCATGGATTAAATAAACCACAGTTAGTTGCTGTGTTGGGCTAACACCCCCATACAGTCATGTAGAGCTTCAGCTATTGGATAGTATAGAAATATAATAAGAATAGTAGTAGCAGCAGCAGCCACGGTGGAAAAGTATGAATGGTCACTCTTCCTCACCAACCTTACATGGAAAAACTTTTAGATAAATCTATGAACAAGGCCTGGAATTATTCAACTCTGGGGACCAGGCCAAACAGAGATATTGTTCATACTAACACTGGATTTCTTCAGAAAAAGCATTTGGGCTGGGGGTGGGGGCAAAATAAAATAAAATAATACAATAAAACAAAATAAAGCAACCAGGAGAACATTTATAAGGTGGTGTTAAAACATTCTTAATAACTTTTGGCCTACTGTTTGTAGAATATCTTGACTGGAGGAGACATTTTGGAAATTTTGAGGGTGAGTAAACAGGAGTGAAGCATTTACATTACTTATTATTTGCATTTCTTATTACTTATAAGTGATTATGCTGAAAACTTTGTCGGGAAATAACTTTTCCACATGCACCACATGGGCAGGGAGCAGTTACCAAGAGGGTATGGGGTATGAAAACGATCACTTTCATGAACCCTCCCACTCTCAGCTGACAGTGTTTAAAATGGAACTTCAGTACAGTCTTAAACAATCCCTGCAATACAAAAGTGGAAGCCAAAAGTTTGGTAAGTCTTATTGTTTCTGGCCTTAACTCACACAACATCATTCAGCTCAAGTCGTGTGTCTGGTGAAGGATTGATCAGGATGTAGGAAAGCGTGTTATGATGGTCATTCATTTCATCTAGAGAAAGAAAGAGAAGGAAGGGAATTTGTACTGATTGATCGATTGATTTATAGGCTGCCTTTTTTTTTTAAAGAATATGTTGAACCATTGGTCTTTAAATGAGGACATGACTTGCCCAAACAAGGGTCAAAGTAGCATGAGTGACATTGTGTCAAGGAGAAAGAAAAGTAAGGGGAAAGGGTCAGGAACTGCAAGATCAATATATGCTAAACACTGAAAACTGGTGCTCATGTCATATGACAGACTGGGCTTCAAGGTGGGCCCTGGTTTGATAAGGTTGGAGACCAGTGAAATTTGCCTTATATATTTGATGATCCATATGAAAATCCATAGGATAATTGAAAGAAGGATAGATTTTGATAAAGCCACATTTAAGCAGTTGCGTTTATAAAGAAACCAATGGCCCCATAATAAACCCAGCATTTATTTTAAATAGAACTTTTTAAAATTGGAAATATTTGACAAGCCCTCATTTTGTTAACCAGTCAGATTATTAAAATAAAGTAATTTATAGGGTTTCCATAATCAGATCTGCCCCTTCCTCTCCTTTGCATCTGAGAAGCCTGAGCTATATTTAGAAGTCACTTACAGAGCTACTTGAAGCAAAGGAGAGGGAGAGAAAAAATGCCTTTTCTTTTTTGCAGCTGTTTTTAGGGGAGAGGGGAAAGAGTCAGCACTCACTAAATTAAATTTCTTTCACCAAAAGCTATCACTCATTCACTTGGACCAGCAAATATCTAACAGTTTCACAAGCAAGCCTTCTTAATGGAGATGTGTTACTGTTCAGAAACTGCTCCCAACTATTGATAGTTAATTATCTTGTGTTACTGTTGCTTGCAAAGCAGCCATATCATAACTATAAAGACATTTCTGCACCATGAAAGATGAATCAGCTTATCCAGCAGGAGCTCCTTAGTTCCCTCCATTGCAAGAACTCTTAATCAAACCTACCCCTTCTTACCTGTTGCTTAGATTGCCAAGTTGTAAGAAGGTCTGCTCGTTCATTGCAAGCTCACTGAGTTCACACAGGAGCATTTGGACATTTGACATTTCTTCTATCCAAATAGAAAATCACAACATCCATTTCATATGTGTCTTTACAGTGCCTACCGTAGCCTGCTGTTGAAAGTCCCAGATGTTTCATTCTGTTTTTCACCAGTTCAGCAAGTTCCTGTCTTTCTGACCTTCTGTAGAGATTCATTCTCTGCTGACTTATTTTCTCCGCTGTTTTTGCTGAGTGCTTTGGAACTTTTCGGCTCAGTCGCCGAGCCCACTGCATACTTTTGCGTCGTAACAAAGGATGATCTGATTGATCACTGGATGTTGAGTTACGATGATTGTTACGGTAGTTAAATTGTTCTTTGTTATCCTTGGTGTCCTCCCATTCTTCCACACTAATAGAAATTTGGGACTTTAAAGAGAAACCCAATGCAGGAATTAAATTGTTTTGGAAATGCTTTCTTTCTTCAAATAAAGCATCTTAAGTCATCTCATTCATCAAGCCCCCATACCTTCCTATACCTTTCATAAGTACAGGTTAGGTGACAAGTGGCTGGAGAGCAGCACTTGTGAAAGGGACCTCGGGGTACTGGCTGACTGCAGGCTAAACATGAGTCATCAGTGTGATGCAGTGGTCAAGAGGGCGAACGCCACCCTTGGTTGCATAGCCAGAAGTGTGGCTTCTAGATCGAGAGAGGTATTACTACCACTCTATATGACTCTGGTGCGCCCAGAACTGGAGTATTGTGCTCAGTTCTGGGCCCCTCATTACAGAAAGGATATAGCCAGGTTAGAGTCAGTGCAGCGTAGGGCCACAAGGTTGGTGGCCGGTTTGCAGGGGATGGGGTATGAGGCTAGACTGAAGGAATTGGGTCTCTTCAGCCTGGAGAAGAGGAGACTCAGAGGGGATATGTTGGCGACATACAGGTATGTGAGGGGATGTCACATGCAGATGGGTAGAGACCTGCTTTCCCCGGCAGAGGAAAGCAGGACGCGCTCCAATGGAGCAAAGCTCAGGGAGCCAAGGTTCCATTTAGATGCCAGGAAGCACTTCCTGACAGTCAGGACCCCAAGGGTGTGGAATGGGCTTCCACGAGAGGTCGTTGAGGCCCCATCGGTGAGGGTGTTCAAGGATAGGCTGAACATGCACAAGGTGGGCATGTTGTGAGTGGAGCCGGCTGGTGCTGGAGGTCAGACTAGATGGCCCGGGAGACCCCTTCTGACTCGCTGTTTTTCTATGTTTCTATGTTCCAAGTATAAAGCCAATAGATGTCACACTGCACCCATGGTAGGAACCAAAGAATAGGCCAGCATTTCCTTGGAGGAAAAAAATGCTACAGACCACTGTAGATTGTGTTTGTGTTAATGGTACAGAACCACTTATACCACATTGTACAGAACTGCTAAAAGAGTACACAGAATTGGGCAGGCTGTGAAGATGCTAGCAAAATTGCACAGGGGCTCTATAAGCATTTAAATATGCTTTCATATTTATGAATTGGCTGTATACACCCATGATACCACTTGAACGTGTACTTTTTCCCCAATGGGGCTTTGTTTCTGGAGAGTTTCCAAGTATAATTCAACTCAAATACTACTAGTGGAGCACCTTTGAATCTTTTAGTTGTACATGGCATTAGTGAAACCTCTTTAGTTGGAGTCTCCTCTTGTGCATAATTCAGAAACTAGGTTCTGCTACTGAAACAACATTTACACTAGTGAAATAGCATAGCTGGATATTTTCCATTTAAGTTTTAAATACCAGAGACAGCGAAATAGCACTGGAAGCAAAAGTATGAGAAAGATTTTGGAAGTGATCAACAGGTTCAAATTATTCAGATTTTGGAATCTGTTTTGGCAGCATACTTGGATTTATGTGGGGCCCGTATGGTCTTACCAGACGAAACATGACCCAAAGGCAGAGCATGACCTAATGCTACCTATTTCTAAACCTATATGAAAGTGAGCCAGCAGAGACTCAATAGGCTCATGAGACATGGGACAAGCTTAGAAGTCACAAAGCTATTGGGCAGCAGGGGGACATATGCTAGTTTTACACAGTATAACATGTTAATTGGAGAGAGGGCAGTCTGCAAGACAAATTCATCTGATTCTGAGGAGGAGGTGGAGGTGGAGGTGGAGGGGCAGAGTTGGATGGATGACTTGGCAGTTTCAAGGTGACCTACTCAAGTTTCATCAACAGAGCATAGGAACCAGCCCATCTTGGAAAAGGAGGGAGATCTTTCAGAACGGGATGTGGGGAAGATGCAGAGGGCATGCCTTGACCTTGTTGGCAGACAACAGACAAAGAAAGCAGATCACTTAAGAAGTATCCAGTGCTCCCACTCTCTAGCCCACAAGCTGCAGGAGCCACCCTGAGGGTGGAGCCAGAAGCTTTTCGGAAAAGGAGGAATGAAGGGAAGTTTCAGTTTGGAGTACATGCTTCTCTCACACCTCAAGGAAAGCACTACCTTGATTTATACTGTTTTGTGATCTAGTAAGCTCTAACTGTGCTTCTAAAATCCCCATTGCATGGAGAGAGATTAGAAGAAACCAAAAGGAAGAGAGGATATCTACTTGTGATGCATGCATGCACATCTGAACACACCAGGGGTGCGAAGTAGTGTGTGGGGGCTGGATTGCTCAAATGTGGTCTTGGAGCAGGAATGGGATTCATTCTACCCTGCACCTCCAGGCCTCATAACAGCTGGGCATCACTGCTGAATCTCCAGTTCCAATTTCAGATAGCAGTGGGGATGCCTTCCAAGGGGAATCCTCCAGGGGGCAGGGCTTGGAGATGAAGGTCCATCCCCAGAAGGAACCCCAAGAAGTGGTCACAGACATTGGAGTGCTTTACAGGCTAGGGGTTTAGCACTCTTGTAACTGGCACTGGTGTGTTGTTTTTACCACACGGGGTATATCTCATGGGAGACTGGGAAGTGGGCACACAATGGGAGACCAAGTCTTAATAGGAAACTGGGGTATCGAGGAAGTAGATTTCAATGATTCCTTGCATGTTCTCTTCCTTCTTCCACAACAGGTATGATGCGACACAGAATGTGACCCAGGAATGCACTTTTTGTAGAAAGCTGGCACTATTTATGAGGCTAATGCTTATGATATAAAGTCTTCACCACTACTGGAATGAATCCCATTCCTGCTCCAAGATCACATCTGGAGTGTGGCAATGCTCCCTCATGCTAACTCCTCTTTTCTCTTTGCTGCAGGAGACAAAGAACTGAGATAGCAGGGAGAATGCAGTGGCAGCTGGACTAGCCCACATAAGGTCCCATATCCCCTAGACCTACAGCATCTCATTCTTAAATCTCTAGTCTTCCAATCTGCTATCAGGGAAGCATGGTGTTTGTGCCACTAAATGGCACTGGAACCAAACTAGCTACTACTGGCATTTCTCCATCCTGTCTTCCCTTTCTGGGTGATGCTGGAGTGCAACATAATTTTGAGATGTACGCACACACACACAAAACACATAGCAAATGTGGCAATTCTGTGAAGCAACCAGAACGTTTCATTTTGCACAATCACTGTGATCTGCATTATACAACCTCATGATTGTGCACAACTCTAGACTGCAGGATTAACATCGGCCCAAGACTATTGAGTGTTCATTCATTCCCATAATTTGTGTCATTTTCCTAAAACCATTCAGGGATTTTGTTCATTAGGCCAACACTGTGCAAAAGGAAACCCAAGGCGAATACTTACTTGTGAAGCCATTTCTCGAGACTGACACAAAGTGGGAGGTCAGGAGGAGGAAAGAAAACAAAACACCATTCAAACAATAGCACCCGAACAAGGAATACACAATTGCACTTATCACAACATTGGGGTTGTACAAGTAAATGCACACAGTTAGAAGCTTGTGGACTGTGGAATATACTTGCACTTTCAATTCTCAATCAGTTGAACATAGGCAGGAAAGGTGTGCTCACATAAGCCATCATTTCACATGATGGCCCTTGATCAATCAATACTGTTAAATAGGTTTCATGTGTGAGGACACAAATGGAATTTCATTCATCCTGTGAAACTCAAGTGTCTCTGTTGTGTCCAGTTTTTGAAATCAGGAAGATAAATTTGTGGGTACCATACTCATACTTTCCTTTCATGGACAACAGATCATGCAACTGATAGTTTATATAGATGGTTTCATAGATGTCCTTTTTAGTAACAGGGCTTAGCTTTAATCCTAACCTGCAAAGGGATGTCCACTTTTAGGATTTGTATAGCATGTGCAATTCTCTCTCCTCCCTCTCGTTTTTCCCTGCCCCTTCCTTGCAACGTTTTAATGGAAATCAAAGCAACAAAAAAGTGAAGTTCCCATCACTGCAATTCAGCTCAGCCCAGTCCAAGCCAAGGGTGCATCTCCCCCGCCCCCTGCAGCTTTCCCTGAAAATCAATTGGACTTTTCAAATGGATGCTTAAAAATAAAAGGAAAGGTTTGTTTTTGGCTTTGCTGGGCTTGTTCATTCTTTTGAGTGTTCAGTATGGGCACTTAGCAAGCCTGGCGGATGTTTAACTGCCTTTACCTTGGGGAAAGAAGTAACACACCTCAGTGGTCATTTCAGCCCAGCAGAGGCCTTGCGCTGAGAACCAGCAGAGGGATTTGGGCACTGGAATCTTCAAAGTGAAGCCCTGGGATTCTTGGCCAAAAGAGTGATGTTCTTTGTATCATTTACAGATAAAGAATGGCCTTGTGTTAAAATGGGACCACTACTGATTGCTACACTCTTTCCCAAGGTCAAGTGCTTGAAGAACAGAGAAGGGAAGCATAAGGAAGTCAAGAAAGCAATAGATGCGCATGTGGGCAGAAATGCAAATGAGTGATAAAAAGCTACAAGGGTTAAGCAGAATGCCTAGAGGATTTGAAGCAGTGTGAAGGCACAGGGGCAGAAGTCCTACAAGATTTCCTCTATCAATTATCACTTCCTGAGATAACAGAACAAGAAGGATATATGAAAAGTTTCCTTTAGATTAATCACACCTTTGCATACAGTAGGATCAAATGTATATGTTGGTGATTGGTTAAAGTGCACTCTTGCTAAATGGTATTAATTGGAAGTATAATTTCCTTGTTCCATCTTTGGGGAATCTGCTCCTTTTCTTAGCAGATTACTCATTCTGCAGAATGATAATACAACTTATCACATACCATGAACAGTTGCGTACCACAAACAGTTCATTACTTTCTTGATCTCCATGTTAATGGAACAGAGAATTGTGTGCAAAATGTTGCACCTTCTGGTACTGAGGTGAGAATGAGGCTTCTATAATCCCAGTTTGATTCAGGCAGACTTGGAAGGAAATGGACTTGAGGCCCAACATGTTGACTGAGACAAGTTCACATTCTGACTCACAACATCCCTAGTCTGAGCAACCCAACACAGAATTTCTTTTTTAAAAAATTAGATATCATTCATGTGATGTTTGTGGCATGCAAATTGAATATTCGGCCCCTTGGGTGGAGAAAGGATTGAATTCTCTCCCTTTAAAATGAAGTCAAACTCCAAAAAACTACCTTTCCACAACTGCCATCTTAGCATTCCTGAATTCAACATGAGAAATTGTGGATTATTAAAGGGAATATACATGATCTGGAGGCATAAGTACAGCTCCAATTACCCCCAGAATTTAATGCACACCTAACTAAGGATGTAATTGTTGGTGCTATATTCCCTGAAAATAAACACTGATGCTGATTATCTATCAAAGAATGAGTACAAGTTTATTTTGCACTGAATTGTGACAGAGACCAAAGAGAATTGCAGGGCCTATGTATTCTTTAACGAAGAGCAAGGGAAAAAACCTCTACCTCACAGCCTGCTTCTCATGAGTTAGTAATGCACCCATTGGCTACTGACAAGTACAAATGCTTGGATCCATCAGTGAATTGCTGTACACTGAAGAGCGCCAATGTCCTGTACATGGGCATTTGGAGAAACTCTTGTACATAAGCATTCCTCAATCACATTCTGTGACCACCAAGCTGTGTTGTGATAGAAGCAAAAACTGTCCTTGATACAGAATAAGTCAATGAGATTATTCTGTGTCTTCATACTTCACATATTTAATGGCACAGCACATTCCAGACCATTGGATGTCTGCATTTAAAAGTAGGATCTATGATAAGATGGTAATCCAGGAAAATAAGGCCAATTTAACACACAAATGGCATTTTCACAGCAAATAATATGCTTTAGAATTAAGGAAGTAAAGTTGAGCCTGGGCTGAGAAATACCATGATTAATTCCTATTCATTTCACTGGGTCTACACTAAGTAGGACTTACACTGATCTCTAATCATAACAGAAGCTATTTCAAAACATACATTTCAGCATTTTGTAGATATAAAAAATTTATGAATGTTTGCTGCTACTTTATAAATAAAAATAAACAGATGCTGCTGCTGGATTTTTTAAAAAACAAATTCAAGGCAAAGCTGAAAGTTGCAGCTTGGGTATGAATATCTGTGGAATTTCTCTAAATTGGGTTTTACATGTTTTTAGAATGAAAGAAGGCAGAAGATTTAACTTCTCCAATCAATCCATATATTTTTAAAGGCTTTTCATGTGAAGACTTCTAACCTGCTTTAACACTTATTAGCCTTATAGGCATCAGCTTGCTCACGTGAGTGGTAAAAGTGTCGTGAGACGTGTGTGCAGGCCATGCCTGAGAGAGAGAGAGAGAGAGAGAGAGAGAGAGCGCGAGAGCGAGCGAGCGAGAGAGAGAGAGAGCGCTATCCCTGCCCATGCCTACTCGGTCCAATCATTCCATTTTGAGTGGGGGAACTCTGAAGTGTGTTTCTATTCACATTCCAGAGAAAGCAAATACACAGCAGTGATCCCCTTGCATGATCTTACTGCTCAAAGCAGGAAAGTTGAGGGCTGATGAACTGGGGATGTTCAGCAGATGGATACTGTTTGTATGTATGCCCAGTCCCCTTCCCACTTTTCCATCTCACCTGAACAGTTTGAATACCTGCAAAGGGCTACTTTCATGGATAAACATCACATGAACTGGGAACTCCCAGGTATCACCAGCCCCAGCTGCCATGAGTGTAGCAACTGCTGGTAGTACTGAGGACACAGGAGCTGCTACGAGCTAAAGCCACAATTCTTTAGTTTATACATTGCCTTTGTCCATGCAAAAGTGCACATGAGACTCAGAACAAACAGCCTGCATGGAAACAGAACAAGTAAGTGAACCACCCTTCAAATGTGAAGAAACCAAGGGTTGACCTGGGAATGCCAATAAGTAGGTTTATCAGTTTTCGAATACTATAGCAACTGATGTGGCTATTACTCTGTGTGAATGCAGCTAGGAGTTAAATTAATCCTGAGATGCATGAGAGCAGAAATACACTTCATCAGAAACATAGGGCTGCTGCCAGAAATGACCCCTTCTTAATGAATAAGTGCACTTAATTTTAATTAGGAATTCCCTTTCTGAATGTGTGAGTATGCTTCAGTTTAATCGTGTTTCAACATCATTATGTCGAGTGCTGCCCTTCTCCCACATTGGTTCTTGCCAGTGAAGAAATGCTTTGTGTCATGATATCAGGGATAAATTGAACCATACATTATGGAAAAGAAAATGTAACATGGACTCATCTTTCTGAAAAACTGCTCTTAGACAGTTCTTAATAAAGGCAAGCTTGTCATTGCTCTTAACAGTGTAGTGTTATTTGTATATTATTAAGGGCCTTTTCAGGCAATTTTAATGAGAACTACCAACCCAATATACCAATCCAACTTCAAATAAACTGAGGTATACTGTGTAAATGAGGTCTCCGTAGCAATTGGTTTGGAATCCATATTATTCCACTTTATGATTGGCACTTCTTCCACTAGAAACATTATCATTTCCAGGGATCTTATCTAATGGAAAAAGTCCCAGAAGAAAATTCTGAGGATCACAAAAGCCATGGGAAACAAGTCAATATATGACAAGGCTGAAAATACACCATTGTTTGTGGGACAAATGATTCAGACTATTTTAATGTGTTATATGAGGTCAGATTTTCAAGGAGTTCCAATACATTCAAGGTATTGCCTATGAATTTATGAAAAAACAATGCAATCTAATATTTTAGTGAGGCACAAATACTTCCAAATTCAGCAGGCACCAGAAATGTACCATATTTCCTTACATCTATGTCCATGTATGTTTTAAATAACTTACTTTCATTCAGATATTTTATTAGATACTAGGAAAAGCAACCTTGGATGTCTTTTCTACCTGTACTTGAGATAGAAGTATATGTATTGACTTGTTACTTCTCAACCTTGTTTTTTCCTCAAAGGAATTGATCCTGGAATGACTGCTCTGAAGTTCCTACCTACCATTTATTCAGATTTTATACTGCATTTTATCTTTATTAATATTTTACATAGCAATCATATTTTAATATACATAACAGTAATTCCCAACCCTTATGCTGGTGTTATGTGTACCGAAGAGCTTCCTTGTGTGATACCATGTGAAAATTTCTATGAAAAATGAACACATGAATTATTGCTTAAACACACTGCATCATTCAAGGGAATTCCTATTGGTTTACAAAAGCCTTCTATGGATGTTTATACAGTGAAAGTAATACTGTGTAAAACACAGTCAGCCCAAACATACTGTATATCATGGCAACTAAGCAGGCTTCTGTTTTTAATATTTGCTTATCTAATGCTGTATTTAATATCTGTTAACCCCCCACATCTTGAAGGGTTACTGAGAACACGTTCTGGGACAGGTTATGTGTTCCTGTCTATTTTATATTCTTGCCATAACTTCATTGTTGTGATTTTCTGCAGAGGGTTGTTTTTAATGCATGTGTGAAATGGTGAACCAGATCACAATACTGCCAAATGCTGTTTGCCTGGTTTCCTTCCATACCCGTGACCACCCTTTATGCTTCTCATGGTGCTTTAGTGAAATGGGGGCACAGTGGAAGCTTATATGGGAATTTTATGACAGCAGCATGCATCAAGAGTAGAGGCCAGTGCTAATGGCCCAGAGTATGGTCTGATGGCATATAAAGCATCCACCATGTTGAAGCTAAGCAGTTCTGGGAATGGCCTGACTTTGGAGGGGAGACCACCTGGGAACCTCATGTTCTACCTTGAGTTCCTCAATGGGATAAAGGTGGGGAAAATATAATTAGCAAACTACTGTTCTACGATTCTGTGAAAAGATCCAATATATAAAGTGGGAAGGGGGATGAGGAAGGAAAATGAAAGCAAGCAAACTTAGCACCACTGCTTTAAAATACACCCATACAAAACCTTACAATGATCTGCTTCAATGGAATGAGTTTAAAGGCAAAAAGGAGCAAAAGGAGTGTCTCTCCCTATGAAAGAAATGGAGCAGCTCTGTTATTTTTACTCCTTCAGCTGCAATTCCTTTTCTTGAATTGTTTCCCATACAAGCTGGTCTTGCTAGGATTTTTGGTCTATAAGCTCGTAGTGAATAGGAGTCAGGGGCTGCAGTCAGTTGTGTCTCTGTGAAGCATACTGACTCCCTATTACGAGCTTAAAATTCATAATTTACATTTAGAGTGAGAAAACAGCATGTTATGAACACAGTTTCAGAGCAAAATGTGAATAGGACACGAGAAAGGGGTAAGTAAAATGGTTAATTACAAACATCACACAGCCAACATGCCTTATAAATGTGTGCAAGAAAATTAAGCCATCCAAACCTCTGATGTTGCAAGTTTCTGTGATTCGGTTCTATAGATTCCAATAGGAATATCTCCTGTAGAAGAACAGAGCTTCTGATAAAGTCGGGCATATGTTCTGATCCACAAATCATCTTCTGTGATTTTCATCTAGGTAACAAGAACAGCAGCAAAGGAGCTCCAAGTTTCTGGCTGGCTGTTTATTTGTTTGTTTGTTTTTACTCACAAGGAATGACCAAAGCTACTGCAGCAAGAAAAAGGCTGATCGGTGTCTTCATAAAAGTTGTACCAGATGACTTGCTTAATCCTCACTGATTATAAAAGGGGGCACTTTCATAATAACGAGCAACTAACATAAACATACAGGTTTCGGAGGAAAGTAAAATTGCTGCTGGTATTGAAAATACGTGCCAGATAGACAGAACAATTAAATAATTTCTGGGAACCTGTGTAACTATGAACCATGTGGGATAGCCAATGCGCTTTCGTTTAGTCCTGCAACTTGAACATCTAGACGATACGATTGTGAATTATTGTGCATGTAGTACTTTCTATGCGAACAGAGACTTTAACTGTTGATGCCTGAAGCACAGCAGCTTGCTTGCTTGCTTTATTTATTTTATATCCCACCTTTTTTTCCTTTCAAGGTGGCTTACATAATCCTCCTTCTCCTCTCAATCTTATGTGATGCCCAAATTTTACATCTGTCTCAGGCTATAGGCATGACTGATTCTTTGAACGGGGCAAGTGGGGGACGACAACAACGACAAAGAACTTCCAAATATTGTTAAGCCAACCTCAAGGCTTGCTAATCTTGACAAAGTATGACTAGAGAAGGCCACAATAGTATTTCTAGGGAAAAATCATATGTGGGATCACTTAGCAGTTGTCTAACAACCACAGGGTTGCCAACCAAAACCATCTGCTTTTAAACTCGACTCTGTTTATATTCTGGAAATCCTAGTTTACTTGTATTTTTCTCTCATGACTGAAGGGAGCCAAAAAGTAGTGGTTTTTAGGACTCACGATTAGAAGATGCTTATAGTATTTGTTCTGAGAACTGTGGTGTCTTCTCATCGCATTCTTCTACATTGAATTGCTTAAGTGCTGGATGGTAGGCCACATCCAAATTAACTGCAGTTTTGAGTGGGGGCAAGTTTTGCTTTTCATGGTGTGCAAAATATATTCTTTATACTAGAAATGATGAAGGAAAGCAAACGTTCTTGGGTAGATTAAAAGTGACATGAAAGAAATGATGGGAAATTATTTTTCAGTGGTTTGACATCTGAAGTATCAGAAGTCAAAAAAGAATAAAAAAGATTCTGGACAGAATCTTACTTAAATAATTCCTACCTCAATCATCACCATCACCACCACATTACATTTACATCCCACCTTTCTTCCTTTAGCAAGGAACTCAAAGTGGCTTACAAGATTCTCCTTTTCCCCACTTGAATCTCACAGCAACCCTGTCGGGTAGGTTAGGCTAAGAAGCAGTGACTAACCCAAAGTTACCTAGTAGGGTTCATGGCTGAGTGTAGACTAGAACCCAGACCTCATGAGTCCCAGTCCATTTTTAACCACTTCACTACATTGGATCTCTTTCAGACAGCTTTACTTTATGAAATGCAATAACCTCTCTTGATTTAGTTTGTGCTTTATTCATTCTCACACAAGAGAGTTATGAACCAAAGCAACAGGATGTGGCTTGGCATTGTTGCAGTCTTGGACATGTGGGGATTAAGTTCCTATCAGTGATGAAGTTCAGTGCAGGGACAGAGAGCTGAAGTCCATCACCAGACACAGCCCCAAAGAATTTTATCTGCTTCCTGGCCATCATCCCATTTTTGAGTCAAGTTGTATTTAATATAAGATTATCTTCACTTTTAAAGGAACCAAAAGTAACCATGTTTTAAGACATAAAGACATTTCACACTTAAATGCTGCATCTACTTTATGGATTGTGTATACCCTTTCTATACAAGTGCTCCTTAAAAAGGAAGACATCATAGCTACTTGGTATCTAATTCATTATGGACATGGATTACACCTAAAGATACCAATTCACACAGCAAAAGAAAACATTTCAGTCTGGGTATGAAAATGCTAAGGAATACATAATCTTGCTACATTCAAACCTGCTCAAACCCATTCTTCAGATTCTGTCCTAAATCCACTGAGAACTATATGTGATCTTCAGTAATAGTAATAGTAATAATAATTCAAAAATGTACCTGCTACTTAAGCACTAAATAGCTTCTCAGGTTTTTCTCCCTTCCACCTCATAAAATATTTGCCTTTCCAATAAGCAAACATATCTCTACCTTTGTTAAAGACAGTTTTTTCTAGCAAAAATGATTTAGTGCCCAGTCTTAAAGAGAGGGGAAAAAGTAATACCAGAAATGGTGCTAGTGTATACCAGGGGTGACTAATGTAACCAAATGTGCTTTGTTTTTGGTTTAAGGTGACAACTTACAGAACAAAGAAATCCAGATCCTGGTGTTGTATCTAATCCCAGCAAAAGTCTTGCAATGGAGATCATGTAATCCTTAACAAATGACTGTGAAGAATTAAAAAAGATAAGAAAAGAGTTTTAGCATGTATCAATAAGAAATCAAAATTCACAAAACTGAATGACAGATCTATACATAGCCCTCCTACATCCTAGTAGATATTAACTTAGTAGCTCAGCTTATGAAGCTCCTGAGAGCTTCACGGACTGGGCTTGCTTATGGGAACCACCTTCCCTTGGACCATGGCATCTTCCTGACTGGTTTACCATGCTCCATCAAGGAGGGAGTACATCAATGGCATGTATATGATCCAGGTTCTATCTCGCATAACTCCAGATAAAAAGGAATCTAGATAGCAGAAATACCTCAGCAAACTTGGAGCTCTCTAGATTGACAGTGGAGGTTAGATGAACCAGTGATCTGACACACATTCATTTTCAATGTCTGATTGATTTGCATGGATGCGAAAATTCTGCACATTGAACAGGAAAATGGTGCACCAAATGGTGCCTTTGCCAAAGTTGTCCAAAGTCCATGGACTACATTGTAAAATCATGCAATTTTTCAATTATGTGATTACGAATGGTTTGTTCAATAAAAAATTGCACATGATTCACCATTTGTGAACATTTTCACACTGTCATTTGGGGGTTTGTGAGCACAACCAAATTCGCATACATTCCTATGGAACATCCTGCCCACACCCACCCACAATACAATTCCATCCCCTTGCCACATTCCCCAAAGCTACTTTTTGAAAGAAGAAAAAGGAAACGTGTGAAATTCCAGTCATGGAACACAATGTAGAGCAGCATTTCACCCTGTGTGAAGCCCACGATCATACAATGGGTTGCACTAACGTTTACACTGATTGCCATGGTGATGCATGCAATTCCCTGAATGGTAGAACCTATCCTGTTATTGATCGGTCTCCTTAGCTTCAAACTCTGCCTTTGAAATCAACCAACAACAAGCCTTGGAGAGAATCAATTCAGAGATGAAACACAAGGCAGAAACCCTCAGTGTTATTTTTATTGATAATAGCAGCAAACAGCAGAAGGCTAACTGTTGGTACAGCAGAGTTGTTCGAAACCTCACAGCTCTATAATCACCTCTCAGCGGCGGGATATTCATTAACTCTGCTGTGAGTACTGAGAAGTGGTGATAAATGTATGTCTTGAGGTTTCTTTTATACTGTGCCCAGTTTTGTTTTCTCTCAATCTCTTTCTCTCTCACACGCATATATATGTCAGGGCTTTTGATTCAACCCTAGCACTAGTCCACAAGCCTCTGAATCCATGTTTGTGGTGCTAAACTGGGGTTCCTTTTTATGGCAGACCTCTCAGGTGTAGGTTTAATAGTGAGAGTTGGGCAAGAAGTGTGTTTGCATCTGTAAATTCATATGAGAGTGCCCATTTTGCACCTCCTGGAACCAAATGCAAATTTCATTTGGAAGTCTCTGCATTGATGAGCCAAAATAAATGAAACTGACAGATATGTAAGTTTAAAAACAGTGCATTTAACTGTAAATGTTTGAAAAACTGTGCACAAAGATACTTTGGTAAATGGAAGAAAATTGTATACTTTCAAAACTGCACACCAACAGTATTTACATTTTGGAAAAAAATATGAGGGGTGGGGGAGACTCGGAATCTGTTAAGTACCAAAGTGACAATGAGCACTCTCACGTCATGAGTGGAGCCGGCTGGAGCCGGGGGTCAAACTAGATGGCCCAGGAAGCCCCTTCTGACCCACTCTTGTTGCTATGTTTCATTGGGGTAGAAATCTGAAAACTTCGGTAAGTTTTACTCATTTCCACAACTCTGAGAACAGTGAGGTACACTTTTTTAATAAAAGTGGAAGAAAATTGTAAAATCCCTTCACAAAAGAAAGGAGGCAAAACGCATGTAAGATTGTTGTCATTTGAAATAAGGAGAAAGAAAAATGGAGCAGTTTGTGATTTTCTCATTAAGATCTCTCTCAAAACCTGCTTCCTGAAGATTGGTTCACTTTGTCTTAACTGCAGGAGCAACCTTGCCCAAAGCGCCAAGTGAACTCATGCATGTTCTTTGCCTGTTATTCTTACCTCCGCTTCGCCTTCCTTCCTCTCTGTTGCTGACCCCACTATTCACTGTAATTTGCATATTGCTCAGACCAGTCTTTTCTTTTTCTGTGAAGTATCATGCACATCAGTATGCATATAAAATACTAACTTGTAATATGTTACTTGCACACCGATGTACAACAACATGCTGGGACAAACAGGCCTCAAAACTAGTGGCTCAAAACTCCTGAAATAGCTCTCCGTCCGCCCGTCCCACTGAGGGGGTCACCTCTCTTCCCATTTTAATAGACTCATTCTGGCCCATACATTGACTGCTTCTATGTTTCCACTCTCAATTCAAGTGGCTGGTTTGAACCTATAAAGTTTTACGCAGTTTGTCCCTGTCCCAACCACAATCGACTTTGGACACTCCACTCAACCCCTCGGGCCTTCTTCTGAGTGCCAACTCCAAGGGAAGCAAGGAGGATAGCAACTAGGAGCAGGGCTTCCTCTGTGGTGGCCCCCATTTATGGGACAACCTCCACTCAGTTTCCCAGCTGGCACCAAACTTGTCATCTTCTCAGCACCAGGTTAAGATGGCTTGTTTCAGCTGATTTAAAGTTTTTCTGTTTTTCTATTTTTATTGTATTTTATTGTCTGCTTTAGGGGTTAGGGTAATAATGGTAATGATAATTGTACTCCACAATAAATGGTACTGCATGTTGATCTGCCATTGCCTTCTTGGGAGGCAGACTTTGAAATGGGGCATAATTCTAACTCAGTGGCATTGATCCTGACACTGGGGCTAAAGCAGACCTCCTCGTGTCCTTTCCCGCTTGCTTCTGGGCTGAAGCAAAAAGTCATGAAAACATGGGAACCCAAATTTGCAATGCATTGAAAGGTAAGGCAAGATACAGAGGGTGTGACTATGGGTACACAAGAAGACTAGCTGTTGCCCTTCACTGTACCTGGTACAGCAGCGTGTCCAGCATGCTGATACTGAAAACTCTGCCAGCAGCAAAGGGTAATCGAAACATGAAGGCGAGATTGGATCCCTTCTCTCGTTCTTTCTGTTCAACATCAGTGGATGGAAGAGGAATGAGGTGGAAAGAGAGAGGGAGAGAGAAGCAGTAAACACTTTAATGTATTAAGCATTTTCAGGAAACTTCATATACTGTTGATTATTTGTTTATTAATAAAGCAGTTGAAGAGAAATTAATGGCAATTCTGAAATGGATTTAATTTCCTTCAGAAGTTCCAGATTTTGAGCAATTCTCCTCTTGCTCTAAGAAAAATATGAAATTTTATGTGGGCGCACATGAAGGTGGTTATCAGTTTGGTACTCCTGCTGTATACACAGAACCTGAAATTCCAAGAGCGAAGTAATCCCTAACATTTAATCTCAACATCTGGAGGTGGGCAGAAAACTATAGGCTTTTCCAAATCCATATAGTTTTAGTCCTTTGACAGACAACTACAGTATTCACGATCCTAGTTACTTCCTAACACAAAGGTGGAACAACAGATATATACAAACAGTGATACGCCTCAACATTTTCCTGTTCACCAGATAATGCCCATCCGGAGCACACTTTAGTTCATGTGAGTCACCAATCATGCATCATCACTGATTTGTGTAATAGTAATAAGGCAAAGCTGCCCAGAGTGTTGCCTTGATTAAGAGGCAGTAAAGACATAAATAAATATAGATGTAACAAAATATGTTCGCCTAATTGCACTGCAATCCTATGTATTGCAGGGAGAAGTGGCAATCCAGGTAAGCTATCTTTCAGAAAAGCTTCCTTGCTGTTACGGTGCTTCCCTGCTACTGGACACAAATTTGAAAATAGTTAAGAATGTTCAGAAATTAGAGGGAAGCATTTTGATATTCTAGGATGCTGTACTATAACTGAATGGAAAGTTGAGATCTTCCTATCAAGGAACTTCACATGGAGACTAAAGTACAAAACTGGGGGAAAATCTACTCCTCTTGGTATTCTGTTCATTTAAGGAAGAACAAGGAAGATGGGTTGCTGACCTAATTATGTTAATTAACTCAGAAGTGCTAAGACAAGTCTGCAATCTTTACCAAACAAGCTTTTGTGAATGGACACACTGTAGGTCTGCATTCTGCATGTATTTAAGCTCCAACTGAATGATTGAAGAGTGCTTAGCTTAGAAAAAAAGGCAGATAAGGGAAGACATGACAGAGGTGTGCATAATTGTATATGGTGTGGAGAAAGTAGTCTGGAGTTTTTCTTGGGTCATCCCTTGAAGCTGATTAGTGGGAAATTAAGGGCAGATAAAAGGAAGTATATCTCCACACAGCAGGCAGTTAAACTACAGAATTCACTTCTACAAGAAATGGTGATGGCCACCAATTTGGTAGGCTTTAACAGGGGACCCCTCTTTACAAAGGAGTCTGCTACAAGGACTATGGAAACACATGCAGATGAGGAGGGGTTTGAATCCACAGCCAGGAGACCCAGAATTAAACTTGTCAGTCACTGAGAAACCATTTCAAATCCTGCATGAAAATTTCATGAGTCTTTTTGGAGGAAGGCAGATCTAGCATCATTACTCTGGTGGTACGGTGTCAGTTTAAAAGAGCTGAGAAGCTTCATATTTTTCAGGCAATTGGCCTGAAGCAAGAGGGTACAACTTAGCAGTGTAGTTGGCTTAAAGATCCTGCCTAGATATGATATGAGATATAATTGTGTGCATGTGCATGTGTGTTTCAATTTGGAAGGGGTGAGATTGGTATTGGAATCATCTTATCATTAAGCCACTTTTCCCTAACAGTCAGTATTCCAGCTTGGCTTGTTTCTCCTATTACTGACTTGTGCAATACTCTTCATTTTTTACTTTCAAGCCAGCCTAGATGGTCTGCTTTAGCATTGAAAGCCTGTCCTAGCTGCTTGGAAGGAGGGGAGAAGAATGATTGTGAGTATTGACACATTCATGCAGGAGAAGGCTTTCCATGTCCACTCATCCTGTTACCCAAATGTTACTCGATGTATCAGAGGTGTAATGCCTATGTACACTAGTTTCCTGGAAATGTTGGCAGGAGGGTAGCGTTGCATACATCCTGCTTGTGGGCTTACCATGGACAGTTGGTGGGTCACTGTGTGAACAGGATGTTGGACTAGATGGAACTTGGACTGATTAAGCAGGGCTCCTTTTATGTTCTTCAGCTGCTTTTTGTGTTTCATGACAGTTGAAAGTGACATAAGTTTCATAACATAAGTTGTGTATAAATTTGGCCATGAGGATAAGTCTCCCTGAACCTAAAGAAGCAGGTACTACTCCATGAAAGTGTATGCTACCATAAATGTGCCAATATTTCAAGTGCCACAGAAGCATAGCTTGAAAACCACTGGTAGAAGAATACCAGCAAGTATCTTGCAGTATAAAACAAGACTGGCATTCAGACTTCGGAACAATTGGGCTTCCCTTTCTTCCAAAACAACAAATCATGTTCTTGTAACATAGTGTAGATTAAAACCACACCGGCCTAAGCTAAACATGGAGACCTCTCCCTATGGGTCTATGTATAGAAGACAGCTTCCCCAAGTTATCACCAGATCTCAGTAAAATGCTTTTCTTTCCTGCTATACTTCTCTCATCTGTATTTCAACAACCACCTGTGAGGAATATTAGTACGAAAGGAAGCTGAGATAAGGCCAACTTGTTCAAGGTCACCTATTGATACAACAGCTAAGGAAGGAGTTCATATTTCAGATTTTAATCCAAGAGTCCTTTCCCAAGTTCTATATTCTATTTTTCTCCTTTTGTGGGAAATCAGAAGTAAATTTAATGTACTTTTATGGGAAATTAAAAATAAAATGTTAAACTTTTAAACAAAGAAAAATGACCAGAAATCCCACCATTTTTTTAAAAAAAAACTACTTTGCCTTTGGTTACAGAATTTCAAGTGTCATTGTATCTCCATCATGTCAACTTGCATGCATTCAAGCTTACATCTACTTTATGCATATTGAAAGTTGGCCCTGGATGTTAACTCAGCCCTGTCTGCTGAGATTTGTGGTGAACAGATACTGTCTGAATTGCCACAGTCATTGCTTCCATGCATTTTTAATTGATCTTTCAAGCTGCACAGAGATGGAGATACAATTTACTCCTTGGCACAGGAAAAGCCACTGCAAGAGCTTTAATTATTTGGAACTGCATCATTCTGTCCCCCTACATATTCTGCAGCAGAAGCCTCTGCAAGTGAAAGGCTGCAAGAGATAAGATGGCACTGGAAGGAAAAGGAGAAGAGAGCCCAGCTGTGGGATCACTTTGACTCCAGTGCTGAGACCATATCCCACTGATCACAAGGACTTTCAATAGGGGCATCATGTTCTGCTTGTCAATTTCCCTCTGGCATGCAGCTGGTACACAGGACTCTGAACTTACGGCAATAGCCTGAGACAGCATGGCAACGGTTTTGCTCAATCATTGGTGGACAGAGCACATCGCTGGGAAGCAATACTCAGGGTAACACAACGGGCTTCCACAGCTGGCTGCGGTGTCCCCCATGAAGGCTTCTTATGCCCTTCCGCTAGGTAAAAAAGTGGCTCCAAGACCAATGGGAGAACTGCATTTACTGACATAAAATGGGAACATCAAAAGCTGAGCATGCAACTGATTCTAGAACTGTAGGAAGATCCACTATCTGACTTTCTTGAACTAATTAAACTGATGTAAATGTCCAACTGACCTATAAAGGTGCCCTTTTTGGTATATTTTGGAAGCTATGCAAAGCATGATGCCCATTTAATGAAGAAAACATGCTACTCATTTTTAGAAAGAATACCATACTTTCATTTTCACTCTCTGTTAAACCAAGAACCCACATAGCCCCCAGAACCAACATAATCTGCCAATTAAAATTAGTTCTTGGCTCCATAAGGACTTCCACTGAGAGCAAGGATAAGACTCAGTTCGATATACTGTACACTTAAGAGGTTATAGGAATGAACTAAAGCTTACAGTCCTCCTGGAGAGAGAGAGAGAGAGAGAGAGAGAGAGAGAGAGAGAGAGAGAGAGAGAGAGAGAGAATCTGTAGGCAAAAAATTAAAAGGGGGAGAAGTGACTTCCTGTTAGGCATTACAATACCAAGTCAGGAAATATTCACGTTTAACGAAGGCCCTGTTTTCCTATGTAGAAAGAATGCTAAACACACACTCTCTGTGTCTCTCCCTCGCTCTCTCCCGCCTGCTGTTGATCGATATAGATATGCTCATCAGGTGAGAACTGCAGCATAGAGAAATCACTTCAGACAGTCCTGGTCTGACAGCAGAGACAGCGCTGACCCAGCCTCTCCGTGGAGTCAGCTCATCCACTCAGGTGCCAGTCACCGAGTGTCCAGGAATCAAGGGGTGCGCCTACTTCTGTGAACTAGGCCTCAGATAGAATACAATGGGATTCAGGCAGCTTAACTGCGCCTAAGTTTGCACAGCTAGCCATTATCTTCAGTGGAAATGATGAATGCATGGTTAGACAGTCAATTTCCCTAACCCTTAATTGAAGTGGGGGGGTGGGGGAGAATTACAGCTATTAGAATGCTATACGGAAGCTTTCTTGAGTTTTAATTTTAATGAAGAAACTAGGAAGGATAGAGTTTGACTTTGGGCATATGGTTGCCATATCTTTCATCCTCAGTTTTTAATGCTGAACAAAAGGCTCTCGCTTGTTCAGATGCCAATGGTGATTGCTTAGATATTTCCAAAGAGAAAAACAAGGGAAGTTGCAGCTTTAAGCAGCAGATGGAGTTCTCCTGTGACTCAGGGATTTCTTGCTCCAGATGCCCATTAAGCCACAAAGTCAATTTTCCATGCATGTTTGTACGCTTTGGCTGCAGGCAACTGCTTCATTTTTAGAGTCCCTTTGTAAAGTGAGAACATTGCACAGGAATTAACAATAAGCTGTACACTGGCCCACATTAGACGATTTCCTCTCAACATTTTAATTGCATTTCCTTTTGCACAAGGGGAGTTCTGCAAAGCTTAATGAACTAGAAACTCCACCTGAAAAAAGTGCTGTGATGCTCAAGGTGAAATGAGTG